CCGAGTCCAAACATTAATTCCGCCATTTTTGTATTTTGTGTTGAATCGTTCTAGTTGATAGTATATCGTATTCGATGAACTCGAGTTTCTTTATAAAGAGATGGGTGCAAATGGTACCCTTTCAKTTTCGTGACAGTAAATCGAACTGCTATTTTGTACTTGAAATAGAGAGGTTTCTGACAAATCTACTCTTCGCGGAAGTACCGGCCGGTAGAAACAAGTAATCCGACCGAATTTGTCGAAGTCGTACGGTACGGTACCGTACAGTAAGGAACAAAATTTCAGAACTTTCCATCATTTAWGTCTTTCCGTACTCGTACCTTACCCCGCATACCTGCTAACGCTCCTCGCATTATTTTTKGCACTGCTGTCCTCATCTTTCTAACCGATGAACGATTGAAAAACGATGACCACACTTGCAACCCAAATCTTATCACAATATCAATATGACTCTTGTTACAATAGCCCCTTGGACCCAATTGTTATCTTAAGATTGTAATAAACGACTCATTCGATCTAATCCAATCATTCCTTTCAATACGATCATCATTCCTTTCAATACAAGTACGAATACGAATAAGAGTACCATGCTACCGTACAGCTTTACTTTGTACAGTAGTAGAGTACGAAGCAAAAGCACAAAATATGACACGCCWAAACCAACGTCAGTCACGAAGACAATACCTCTTTCTTTCTGCTTCTAACAAACACTTCGCTCAAGTAGTACCGATAGTTAAAGACACCCCCTTTTCGTTGTGAAACAAAAACCATATCGTAACTACGGACTCGTAACATTTTCTGCAGCTGAAAGTAGAGCCGACGATCCAAAGATCTCCCGCAATCATATTCTAAGAAAGGATAGAAACACCCAAAAGAACGGGAGTATTACCGAAGAGACGACAAAACGGATACCAGAAAAACAAAAAATTTAGCAGCCGAATCATGACGCAGAAGATCACAACAAACATGTTGCTGGGGCTTCTGGTTTCCAGTGTCGCAATCAATTCCAACAACTGTTCCGTTCACGCCTTCACTGGAATGAAATCGCTTAGCAGAAATTGTCGCGGCAGTAATCTCGCGAGATCGCCATCGGTTGTTTTCATGAGCGACGACAGAAGCAAAGACGACGAGATTGCCAAGCTGGAGGAACAATTGAGAAAACTCAAGGAGGAAAAGACGTCCGAAGAAACAGCGGTAGCGGCGACCACCACCACAACCATAGAAGAAGAAGAAGAAGACGAAGAAATGATATCCCTAGAGGAGGCCTCTATGGATATGTTCCTGTCGGAGGGCTGGAAGGAAGCCCGGTCTAACTACGATCCCAGCAACACGGCGACCAAGAAACGCCAAGAGGAGGAACAAGGCAATTTGATAGGAACRGTGGYAAAGTTAGCAGGAGGAATCCTGGCGTTGGTGCTCTTTTCTCAGATACCTGTCGGCCAAGAAGACTTGTCCAAGTATTCCAGCATCAAGTCGGGACCGGCAACGACCACCATTGATCTAGGCGATACCAACAAGGTCAAGGGACAAACGATGGGAGATCTGTGAACGAACCTACAACAACTTATATTGCTTTAGCTAGTTGAGAAATTCAAATCATCGTGTGATGGGCTCTACGCCACCATCCAACAAGGGCAAAAAGAGAGTCAGTCCGACAAAAATCTGTGCGAAATAAAATTGAATATGAAGTACCTTTGAAATGGAGAATGGCACAGMAATGAGTGACAATAAATACTGACTCTACTGAMATACAGWAATAGTTTTCAYCGAAAGCGTAGATGATGACTCTKTATTATTATTGTAGTTGGTTGTAAATTACTTGTCATCTGGTTTCGTGTTCTTTCTCCAAAATTTATCCCAATTTTTTACGGTCCACGGAAAACCCACCCGAAAGTCCGGATGCGGAAACTCACCACCACTACCATTATTGAGATAGTCTTTGTCACGAATCCAAGAATCCCAGGTTCCTCCTTTCGTCTTGTTTTGTGCAACAGGTTTTGTCACCGGTTCTTTGCTCCGAAGACAGCGATGATAGTAACCCGGGGTGGCACGATAGACGTCCATTTGTCCCCCTTCCAGGTGCCCGCCGCACTTGAGGCTCTGGAAGACGCGCCCGTCCAGCAACCGAAAGTCAAGAGAGACCCGTGTCCGGGGTGTTTTGTTCTCGGTCGTCCAGTGCAGGTTCATGGCGCCGGCAAAGAGTTCCAGCCTCGGAAATCCCTCGTCGTTACCAGAAAAGAGAGCGTGCCAGTCTTCCGCCCCGGGACGGCTTTCCAGAAACAGCGAAGAGGATGGCGAGGATCCCATTTCGTCACCATTAATATCACTGCTAATGCCGCTGTACGTCGGATCTGTGAGGGAGACRTAGCAATTGATGGAGCACGGGTGGTGGCCATAGGCTACGTCTGCGTGGGGACCGATGCTAAATTCGTGGGGCTGAACGATTCGAAGACARGGAAAGGCCTGGTAATAAATTTCTTCACAGCAAAAAGACTCGTTCCCATTGCGTCTTTCCGAKGCCTCTATCGCCGAAGCCATGCGGGGGATACAGACGGTTCGAACATAGGCATCGTACGATGTTTGAAAGGGACCGGGATTCTGTGTCAGGGAATGAAGCAAGCGATCTTTTGCGGGCCTGCCGTCGAGGAGAGGTATTTCGTGCAGCCTGGACAAATCGGTGTCCGGTGGCAAACCGGCGCTGAGCARCAAGGACGATAAGAGACCCTCGCTGAGTTTGCGGTCGATGGAATTGTTTCCTTCCAGAGGTTCTCGTGTGGTCCCCACTCGMAGTTGCTCCTGCTGCCGGAGAAAATTTTTCATAACGGAATCGTACAGAGGCTCTCCCGTGGCAGCTCGAATGGCACCGAGGGCTTCTCGCCGCCTCCTTCGGGCCTTTTCGATATGGGGTTCGATGACGGTTCGCAGCGACAGAGGAAAGGGGTCGGTGGGGAGCAGGGGTGCATCGTTGGTAGCTGMCGCCAAGGYGGCACCGAACCATTGTGGGTTCGGTTGCGATGCTGTTTTTGTAGRAGCAGTTTCGTTGGCGAGACTGTCCCGCCCTGCTCCGTCCCCMTTTTGTATTCGCGGTTCTGCAACGTCCGAGGGCACACTCATTGCGACGGAATCTTCCTTTTCCTCTTCGCCACCCTTCGTCTGTATGGTCAATTGCTCGTCGCTGCCGTCCTTGGCCTGATTTTCGCCATCCCCKGACAACCGGTGTTGGTCTTGTCGATCTCGTTCTTGGATCGTCCGTATCCGATCGGTAGTACTCAGACCACGGTAGTACCCGATGCGCTGAAACTTCCCCAGGGCCATGGGGACCTCGAAAAACTCTTTTTGACGCTCGGCGTCGGCGTCGTTGGCGAATCCGTGAACGACCAGATCGATCTTCTGGGCGTCCATGAATTCTTTCGTGACCACGAGCGGGCACGGACACACCACGGCGTCGACCTGCTCCAGGGCCGATACGATGGCGACCCGCTCGGCTTGCGGGACGACCGGTTTYCGCTTGTACCCGGTCGCATCCTCGTCCCCCGTAACGCCCAGGATCACCCGGGTTCCCAGTTCCGCGCACTGGCGGATGGCTTCCAGGTGTCCGACGTGGAAGAGATCGAACACCCCGTCCATGTAGACGGTCTTGGCACCACCGGAAGGAGGAATGGCATCGCTACCGGACGGTTGGCGCAGCGACAAAAACCTCTCCCGCTCCTCTGCTTCCTTTTTCGCTTGGACGTCCAGGAATTCAAACAGACGCTCCTTGCAGTGCAGSGTCGGTCTCCGCCGCTTCCTGGCCAGTGGTTGCATCGGCAAGTAGTGTTYGTCTTCCAGCGGCACCTTTGGGCTGTCTTCCCAGGTTCCTCCCGGTGCCACCAATGGAGGAAGATCCGCATCCTTCTTGTTGCCTTCCGTGCCCTTTATCTCGGTGCCTTGCTGTTGCTGTTGCTGTTGTGTTTCGGATTGCGCCTGGGATTTGTTTTGGCTTTGTTTTTGCTGGTGGTGACTGAGGCTGCGATAGTACACGTCGAAACAGTCGTCACCAAAGGCACGCTTCAACAAGGTTACGGGCATGTTTGGGCCACAAACGCCGGTCAGCGGACCCAGCTTCAGATTGGTTTGCAGGGGAAACAGCTCGTCGACCGTGTTCATCGATTGGCTCGGGCTTTYCCGGTGGTTGCTCGGCTCGGTGGACGATGCCCCGGCGGCGCAATAGACCTCCTTTGGCCACATTTCGATGGCCTTTCGCGTCGCGAACTGCCAAAAGGGAAAGACGGATTCGCGTGCCCGGGCATCCGCATCCGCGTCCTCGACCACGGCAACACTTCCGTGTGAATCTCTGTTTCCTGCTCGCCTGGCTCCGATCGACGCCTGTACGGTGWCCAGTATGGAATCCACGTAGGCTTCGGGTTGTGCCCGGCCGTTTCGYTTCACACCGACGACCGACCGAAAGGATTGCAGGGTCGGGTACTTTCTGAGAACAAACAGGTCCACAAAGACGCTGTTGTAACGCTTCGAWCGGATCCGGTCGCCGCCTTCCCAGGGCTTTATCTGGTAGACACACCTGTCSCTRCAGTCGTTGCTTTCGTCGGCCACCACTTCGTCCAGTGCCGATTGCAAGCGGGGCRCTACGACGGATTCGTAGATCGAAGGCGCGGATGCTCCGCCGTCTTCCTCGCCGCAGCGATGGTCGATGACGGCAATGTCGATGTCGTCGTCACAGAACAAGATCGAGTGCTGCCGGATCGCCCCGAGCAGGGATCCACCMGTGACAATGTACTCGACGTTCAGAAGGGCCAGGGCTTTTCGAACCACGTCAAAGACGTCGTAGAGGACGTCGACTTCTTTCCGGCTCAGCAACAAGGGGTCCGGGCCAGCCTTGGGGGCTTTCGTGCTTTTCGACATCTCACGGGTACATTGTTCGTTCGGTTCGATGCCCTATTGTGTTCCGACTTTTSCTCTGAAGATCGGTCTTGTCTGTCTTCCGAGACGAACGAGAAGATTCTTTTGGAATCGAAATCGAAAAATTGGTACGTACTGTACGGTACTGTACGGTACCGTACGGTACAATCTTCGTACCGTACGTACTGTCCTTTTGACTTCAGAACCTGTTTTTTGTGTCCAGAAAGTGATTGTTGAGCGTCGCCAGCGATCGTGTCTGTAAGTCGTACGGAATAAGGTACGAGCCATACCTTCCTCCTAGGTACTAATACTACTACTAGAAGTAACAGTGAGTATGTAGTATGTACACCAACAAGACAGGACCAAAATACAAAATAAAGACAATTGCAAAATACTGTTACAAAATAGATACATCTGCAACATCAATTTTTGCATGGATTCTTCTTTTACTGCTGGTAGTAGTTTTTGCTCACTTTTTGACAAGAATTCAGACCTTCTGACGAATTCTTGACGAGCGAATACGACTAATATCTGTACTAGTACAACAAACAGCACTACCAGCAAATATAAATCCGTTGCAAAGAACAGCAGATTTCTCTACAATATAACACTTACTATTGGTGCTCACTAAGTTGCTAACTACTGGAAATGCCTCCACTTCAGCAACTTCCTCACCAACAACCAGCATTCTTCCCTTCACTCTTTCCAGCACATCAGCAACTGGCATATTGGTGTTTGCAACTCTCTCCCCTTCAGTCATCCCTGTTAGACATGATAGGACAACTTGTTGCTGTCTAGCTCTCTCCTTTCCTACTTCCTCAGTGTCCCCAATTGTAATCTCATCTTCTTTCAATCTTTGCAACTCAGTCTCATCCTCATCGTCACTCCTAGTAGGAAATTCTGGAGGGAAAGACATATCCTTCACTTCTACTATCCAAAGATCAAGCACTTCTTCTTGCTTCTTTACAGGAATCTTCTTTGCTGATTCCACTTGCACAATACATTGAGTACAGAAACTGGAAGGGACTTGGGATCGTTGTTGTTCTGGACATCTTTCCCCTTGGAGGAATCTTCTTGTTCAATTAACCTGGTGGTAGCTTTGGCCTGGTATTCAGATTCTGCTTTATCCATCTTCTTTAGTAGTAGCGTCCCCAGGTCTTTAATTTGCTCTTGTCTTTCCTTTCTTTCTTCAGCCATAAAGTAATCCTTGGTGTTGAATGTATCCCCYTCCTGTAATTTTAAACTGTTGAATTGAATATTTTGCTCCAGACAAAGCATCTTGATGACCCCTTGAATTTGGTTCTGTTACAATCGTACCCAACAGTTCTTTCTTTTTTGTGGTGCATACTTTTGGAAGACACTACGATTGATCCTGGCATCATTTAAGACCTTCACCGCCTTGTCATTCTTCTCTTCATTCTCAATCAATGCAATTGCTGCATCAGAATCTGGTGTTGTCAAATCAGTAGTACCATCTTCCAGTACAACCAACTCATAGGCAACTTTGCTATCTAATAGGCACCACCTTTTGAATGGTTYCATCCCATTTTTTGCCACACCACTTTGGGATTAGCAAGGAAAAATGCTTTATCGTAGTAGACAGGCTCTAACACAACCTGTTCAGTTGACRTAGTATGGTTCCCAAAAACCAGCAACAGGAAATCATTTTGTTGCACATTTTCTTTCTGTGCCATGYGGAAACAAACCAGCGTTTCCAGATTACAATGGTACAAAGACTTGAAAGGGCCGTAATTTTGGTCTGTAGGCTGGTTGACATGCAGTCCATTTGGCTCTTTTGTCTTCAATCCTGGAGCATCCCATAACAACAGCAACTTAAGGCGCAAACAAATGACAGAAATGATTGTAAAGTTTATTGGTGTAACTTTTTAGTACAGTTGGACCTCCATTAAAACACGATCCTATCATCCAAGTTAGTAGCCCCTTTTGGTTTGGCTACTCTTCCATTGCAGAACAACCAAGGGCAATGTATGAAGCAACCAAATCTACTAAACAACCACTGGTAAACTGGAGGGCTGCCTGCAATTCCAACGGAGGGGGGGGGGAGGGGGTATATTCTCTAGGCCTGCATTTACATGCCGTTGCATTGTTTCTGTGCTTAATTCAATGTTGTACAGCTTGTTGACTTTGGCAACTGCAGCAACAACATTGGTCACATTTCCGCAGTGCCATCCTCATCTTCTTTGCTACTAGCTACAGTGTTGTTGCTGCTGGTGTTGGAAGCAGCAGTAGCAGTAGCAATAGCGCCACTAACACCAGTACTTCCTATGAGGCCTGATACATCTGGTGGTGAAGACCAGTCAATACATGATCGGGGGGAAATACCAACAGCTGTTTGCAGCTCCAGTTTGCCCCTGCATCTTACTAGAACCATCCTCTGCAGGGCTCTGCTGCTGCATTCTTATTCAGTAAATTTGCCAATACCATTGCCTTCCTGGTAGAACGCAGCTAGCTCCCCAGCTTCTTGGCAACTATCAGTGCTCTAGCTGCTGTTTCAGCAGTGTGCTTGCATACTGAAATTGTGTGGCCGTTTCTTACAGTGTCAATAGGAGCTGTATCTGCTGTTGGTACTGTTGGTGCCTTTGTTGTTGCTGTTGTTGTTTGAAGAACTTCCTGCTGCTGCTGCTGCTGCTGCTGCTGCTGCTTGTTCTTTTCACCTTTATTCCTGCTGATGGCACAATCAGTGGAACAACCAGCACCAATCAACCCTATCCTCTCAATGATCCTTGACACAGATTTATGTGGTATTCCTTCCCCTCCTGGTGCTAGTGCTGGTGCTGGCTTGCCAGTGTTGTTGTTGTTGTTGTTGTTGTTGTTGTTGTTGTTGCTACTGCTGCTGCTGCTTTTGCTACTGCTGCTGTTGCTACTGCTGCTGTTGCTGTTGCTACTGCTGCTGTTGCTGTTGCTACTGCTGCTGTTGCTGTTGCTACTGCTGCTGTTGCTGCTGTTGTTCATGGCACCAAAATACAGAAAAAACTGCTATTTTAAAAAACCACTAGGTCAATTGATCCACAACTTTCAGATCCCCTCTAATTTAATGTATTAAAAACATTTGAGGCACTGGTTGTCTGTTGTGTTATGGAGGGGAAGATGGTCTTTTCTTGGTTCCAGCACTGGTGTTCCTTTTTTGCAATTTTTGTCTCTTTCAC